AGCTGTAGTAATAAAGCTCCGATTCCTTCCTTGGAAGCATCCGTGTGGAGCTCTGTTGACGCTTCCCGTGTAATTTCTTTAACCACTTAGCCCCTTGCAGCTTCTCTAATATCTCATCCATGTTCGGCACAGGGAAACAAACATCCACCAACAACTCTACTCGGTACATTTGAAGACGACTTGCGCACAATTCCTTGCTCGACCCATTCCTCGTCCTGTTTCTTTACAGCGTTGGATTGGTCTGCCGCTAGTCGACTAGCTCTAGAAATGTGTAGCCTTGCATATCGACGACCAAACGAAACTTTTTGATAAAATCATGCCCCAACAGAGCATCGTAACCGATCTGAGATCCTGTATCAACGAGACAGTCAACTTCAATGTCATTTATCCGAATTTTTTTAATTCGTTTGCGATCAGCCATTATTCGAACTTTATCAACTTTATCGACTTTATCAGCACAGTTGCGTGATATGTGACCGCTTTGATTATACTTAAAAATTTCATTTCCAGCCGTACAATCTTTGCGCTTGTGTTCGCCTGAGCCACAGTTAAAGCAATTTTCTTTTTTACCGCTTGGCGGACTTTGCTGTTTGACACTTGCTCTTGGGTGTTCTCCGTTGTTCTTCTTCTCGGATATGGTCAAACGTTCATATATATCAAACTCTTCTTTCAAGGCTCCGAAGGATTTACATCGATATATTGCATATTTGTACTCGTTTCTTATGTAAAGGTTATGACGCGTCTTCGACATAGCCAGCTGATTCATAGCCAGCTGATTTGTTTGTATGTGAGGTCATAGGCGTCTGCATTTTTTTCGAAAATCTCGAACCACTTTTCTATTGGCACAGACTTGCCATCACACTCGCTTACTACTTTTCCAAAATTATTCGAAGCGATTTTCATTTGGCAGTCACGTTGTTCATCAGCAAGCACTTTAAGGTTTAACAGCTGAAGCCTTTGTTCAATTCTTGCATCAACCCTGGGTCGCTCACTGTTCTCCTTAGCATTTGCCATCTCGTTTTCTCTTGCACACGACATTTCAGGTCCGACTTCTACCATTTCGTTTCCTCTCGAACGCAACTTTGCTCCTGTGTCTCTTTGTTTGTAGGTTCTACTTTCGTACTCTGCTTCTTAAGTGGCGTTTTCTTCATACTTCGCTTTTTTATGTATTTACCACATTAGTAACAGTTTCTGCAAATGGCGACGTTTCGGCGCGACTTCGAACTTCACAACCTTTCAATTGATTTACACCACGATCTATTTTTAAGAGGCATATAACGACTTTATCAACTTTACCGAAATCCTGCTCTTGTTTCAGCCAGCTTTATTCGATTACACCTTGAACTCTGCACTTGACACGGACGAGCCTACAAATGTAAGATTTGTAATATGGTATTGTTAACTTAATTATTAATAGTCAGCACAAAGTAGAAATTGTTTCTTTATAATAGTCTCAGTCAGTCAATTTCACGCGTGTATTCGCTAGCTTATCGAATGATTGGGGTATGTTAATTAACAGGACTGTGTTAACTCCTGCCTTTACATGTATTCTAATTCATATATGATTATTGGTGTCGTTGAGACTTCTTGTTGACTTCTTTCCTTAAAATAAATATCTCTAACATAAACTAGTCTTGTTGCTTCTATTGTGGTCAGGACAACGCATATACATATGTATCAACATATGCAAAATTGAAAAGTATTTCCAGTATTATCCAATTCGGTCTAGGTTGTCGGCTCTGCTCATATAGCGTTTTTTAATGGTTTGCTTAGATTCCCAATTTCCCACATATATATACCAAATCTTGTTCAAATTGATAGTATCTGGGCAAGAGTTCTCCTCTTAGTCTCCTGATGGGACGGACACCTTAAAGGATGGTGGCAAGCCTATTGGCGTGTGTGACCCAGGGGATCTTCAGATCTCTGGGGAGAACGCTGTTGCGCACCTAGTATGGAGCTCCTGCCATCCGGCGGAGAGTATTGCTTTGAAGAGATTGAACTCATTTTCGGTTAGAATGAGCAGCCAAGCCCTAGATCTGTATGACGCATCGCCAGATTTGTGTCACAGTTTGTAAGTAAACTAGGCGTTTGCTTGCAAGGGAACGGTAGCTGCGTTACACAATTCCTCTTATGTGGCTGGCGAAAGTTAAGCTCTTATCAAGGGTGACACCTAAGTATTTTGTTTTGCTCTCTTGGATTAGCGTAAGTCCGTTTAGCGTCAGCGCTGGCGGTACTCCTCTTCTAATTGTGTAGCACACAGTGGTGATTTTGGGAGGGCTTAGTTTGACATTCGGCGTCGAACATATACAGGTGAGTTGTTTGCATAGGTCCGTCTTTCTGTTGCGGCATTATTTATTTCAGAACTGGCCGGATAGGACCACTATATCATATTGCTGGTATAAAAAATATAGATTGATAATTAAGTTATGGTATGAAACATTTTTGTTTATCAAGATATCTTTCAGAATTTTTTATATTCAGTATACTTCACATTTACAACCTTGTAGAAGGTATTATAGGTTGCTTACCATCCAATCGGCTACAAAATAATTTGCAAAGATCTTTTTGAGAATACGTTCTTTGGTGGCAAATGGTCAAAGGTTTAATAAACGAAAGTTTATTCTTCATATTCAAGATTCTCATGGGCAGAAACCGCTGATGTCAACACTTTGTTCTTTATTCGATGCACTTGAAACATATTTTTAAATAGAAGAGGAGATGAGATCAAGATGGGTAGATATCAATTTCTGTGAACCTAGTAGAAAGGTAATATCTAAAATTTGTAGCACAAGGGTTCCACGGGCAAGGCTGGGAAATACCCGCTAGTATATTATAGAAGAGAAAGGTACGGAGCCAAGATACTCTGTATACAATTGCATTCATTGTAAGCTTAAATTCGGTGTTTTTTTTATTATTGGAATACACCTGGTGTGCAGCCGTTAGATTACAAGTTTAATTGACTAAGAGGATTCAAATTTAGTCAAATCATAAACAACAGTGGAAATATAAGTCGAGCTCAATTATTCGGGAACGAAGAATAATGGAAAATAATGTTTTAGGAATACAAACAGGACATATTAAAAGAATAAATTATTAAAAATTTAGAAAAATATAGCTCCTATAGCACTAAATGCAAAGCAATTGGGCGCTTGTTGACTTTAATCTGTATTGTCGTTGTTCAGTATTTTTAATCCAGATGACCCTGCAAAGAGGTTAGTAAAGGGTCTCTTAGAAGGCGACATATATATGGGATATTTGAAACCTTAATATGAGCCCTGTACCAGTTTAAAGACAGTACTGCTTCTACACTTCGAAAATATAAAATTGGATGTATATCGCGTCGACGTTAAGTATTATAAACCTGAGTAGGACGTCAAGTTAGAACCTGTTAAACGCAAGATTTCCATATCAACTTGTAAGCAATTGTATTTACTATAAATTATCAAAAAATATGTTATTTAGAAGACGTTTTTTCTCTAATTGTAATAGGAAAATTTTAACTTATCCCAAACGTTAGCCTAATCGCTGATCATTTCTAATATTTTCTTTACATTTTATAGATTAGAAGTTTAAACGATAAAGTAGCGATTTATTCGTGTGAAAATGATACGAAAACGAAAGAAACATTTTTAATATATTAAATCTTATTTTGGTTCTTTTATTAACTTTACTCTTACCTTGGTAACTTTCTATTCTCTCGTGTAGTGTCTCCATTTCCTGGGCCATTTCATCTCTTTCTTTTTCAGCCTTTGACTTGAGTATATAGGCTTCATCTAGCCTAATGTTTAACTTATTTAAATCCAAATTTAAGGAGCTGATCATGTTTGTCTTCAGCATCATATCATGTCGTAAATCTGCGATAGAGTTGTTTAATTTGATAATTTCGCTGCGTAAACTATCACGCTCTTTCTGTAAAGAATCCTTAATACGGCGAATGTCGTCTGCGCGTCCACTTGCATTTAGTACATCTTTCTCAAGAGAATTAATGTTATTTCTAAGAATAAAAGATGGGAGATAGGAGTAAAACTTATAATTACATATTTACTTATGACGCAATATTTCGTTGTTAAGTATCATCACTTTCCGGTTTAGCTTATACAACCGAGTACTTGCGTTATTTTGATCTTCCACTGACTTCTTGAGTTTACTTGTCAACTGAATAACTGCGTTTGATTTCTCTTTTTCTATTAGTCTTAACTGCTTGATAATCTCATCGTTATTCTTTTGATTTTTAGTTAATTCTGTAATATCATCCTCGTATTTATGCATGGCTTTGTTAAGTGCATTGACTTCACTTTTGTATTTATCCACTTGTACTTTCTGCCTGTCGAAATCAGTCATCTTCTGGCTTAACTTACGAGTTGTCTCTGCTAAGTCTCGATTCGCTATTTCAAGCTTGTTCATTGTTTTACCATGCGCTTCTTTCTGTTCTTCCATGGACTTCATAAGAGCTCGTAGTTTGGATTCGACATTAATTCGTTCCCCTTCTGAAAATTTAGCTCTCGAGGCCATTTTACTTAAAGCGTCCTCATTATTTCGAATTATATACTCTAGGTTTTCTGAATAGTAACGATTAGTGGCCAGCCTTTTTTCCATGTCAATGACTTCGCCAGCTAATCGATCACGTTCGCGTAGTATGATGTTTTTGTATTTTGCTAAATAGCCAAATCTATAGTTTTAACAGTATTAAAAATCTAAAAGTATTTAATTTGACACTCGGCATATAGTTCCCTTGTAGACAGTATTCTTATTTAATATCAGCAGTCGGATGGTTATTACTAAATCTGTCTATCTATTTTTGGTTAATCTAATCTTTTAACATTATAACTATCGTATTCGGTATATTAATTTTGCGAACAAATATGCAAAATGGCCTGATCGGAGCGCAATTCCCATAGATCAGTCAACAATTAAGCGAGAGGCGAGGGTTAATATGGTAAATATGCTCACAACTACTGTGTGCCCTTAGTCGCCCCTTGCGAATCGATCGTGTATGACAGGCTCGAGCATATAGGCACGAAAATTTGACATAAAGAACAAAAGGAATGCATTTCGATGTTACCTCTAAGGGCACTATTTGTCGTGATCAGGGATCACCGGATAGGAGTTCAAACCCATAGAAATGCACAGGCGGGCATTACAACCTATGGAGACGAGAATTAATTGTTTTAATTAGTCTGAATGAGGGAATCTTTTATTCTTTAGCAACATAGACCAATTTTGCGGCTGTAAGGCTAGATAATTCTTTTAGGAAAGTATTTTACAGTCAAAGCATCGTTAACATAAATAAAAGTGGAAACATAACTAGGAAACTTAATAAATTCACGAACAAGGAGTGATGGTGTACATTTAAACTAAATTGGTTTGCAATTGATAAAATAAATTTAAAGCTGGATATTTTTGCAACTGGCGCAAATGCTTAATCACAGTCTATAAGATACTCCAGTGTGAATCCTCGAGCTACTCGTCTTTATATATTATTGGATTGCCATTTTCATTTCCTCTTTATTCAAATCTCATTCCAGGCAATTTTATCACCAACCCATTCAGTTGGACCGGCACTTTCAATTGATGTACCACTAGGCTGTTTATCTGATATTTTACTATTGGATTTCTGTTGCGTACTCTCATTCCGGAAATAGTTCCAAACTTTCATTCTGGAACTTCAAAAACAAAAGTCCTAGATTTTTCTATATTAATCATCAGCAACAACATCTTCTGTTACCAAAAACTTTAGCCCCCATATCCCACAACTTTTATCCATTTGGTACATAGCCAACAAGTATACATTACAAATGGAGCTTTCTTATTCCGAAACGCCCTATTTGAAGTTATATCAATTAAATATGTTGCTGTTGAAACAGTTTCACTACAAAAACATTTACACAATTTTGACGAACTGCGTTCGGGTACTCCATTTAGTTGTGGTGTATGGGGAACTGGTAAATGCCCATGCCTTGTTCACCATGTCATTAGACAAAAATTCTCTTCAATTTTCAATGTAGCGATTTACAGCCTTTCGGTAATGGGCTTCTCTTTTCGGGATTAAATCTTCAGAAGTAAGAAATATGTCATACACACAATAATGTGTACATTGATCAACGAAAACTACATAATAGTTCTTTCCATCAATACTTAAATTTGTTATTGGACAACAAACATCAGAATGAATTATAATTAAAGGACTTTTAATATGGTCTTTACTTTTTAAAACTCCTCAAAACTATAGTTTAGTTTGCTTACCAATTACAACAAGCCTCATATATCTCATTATTCAGATGCACATCTTTTAAGATTTCTATATCTTAAAACATATTATTTCACAAAATTTCTTAAAATTTCCATTTACTACTGTATCTCAATCTCTTATGCCACAAGCGATAAATTTTATTTTTTTTTAGATTCAATTGCAAATGCTCTATGGTTTATCTTGAATTCAACCATAACGCTTTGTCTGCTTTTCGGCTCCAGAATCCAATATGAATTATATGTTACTTTTATCTTTATAATTTATACCCTGCGTCAACAAACCTCCACTAGGTTTTATAGTTGCTACTTGCGCAAACTCCTTTTAAAATTAAAACAATGTTTCAATGGCGGTTACCACCCCATAATAATTAGAAGGTAGAGTTAAAAGTAAGTGTGACACTTTATCCACCTACTCAATTTGAGTTCCTTAATGCTAAAATTATAATTTTGTCGTGAAATGTGTACCGCATAGAAGGAGACATCTCCGACCCCATAAAGTATATATATTCTTGATCAGTATCAACAGCCGAGTTGATATAGCCATGTCCGTCTGTCTGTTTCTATGCGAACTAGTTTCTCAGTTTTAAAGCTATCTTTATGAAACTTTGCAGAATTCCCTCTTTCTGTTGCACGCAGTTCATATGTCAAAACCAGCTGGATCGGACCACTATATCATATGGCTGCCATAGGAACGATCGGTCGAAAAGTAGGTTCTTGTATGAAAAACATTTTTGTTTATAAAGTTATCTTTACTAAACTTGGTATTTATTAGTTTTACTACGTTCCCCATATATATGCAAAATCCTATTAAGATCGGACAACTATATCATATAGCTGCCATAGGAGCGATCGGTCGAAAATTAAGTTTTTGTATGGAAAATTTTTATGTTTTTCAAGATATCTTGACCAAACTCGGTACTTATTAGTTTTACTAAGCTTCCCATATATATTCCAAATTCTATTAAGATCGGGCAACTATACCATATAGCTGCCATAGGAACGATCGGTCGAAAATTAAGTTTTTGTATGGAAAATTTTTATGTTTTTCAAGATATCTTTACCAAACTCGGTATTTATTAGTTTTACTACGCTCCCCAAAATCCTATTAAGATCGGACTACTATATCATATAGCTGCCATAGGAAAAATCGGTCGAAAATTAAGCTTTTGTATGGAAAATTTTTATGTGTTTCAAGATATCTTCACCAAACTCGGTGTTTATTAGTTTTACTACGCTCCCCATATATATGCAAAATCCTATTAAGATCGGACATCTATATCATATAGCTGCCATAGGAACGATCGGTCGAAAATTATGCTGTTGTATGGAATTTTTTTTGTTTTTCAAGATATCTTGACCAAGCTCGGCATTTATTAGTTTTACTATGCTCCCTCCACTTATGCAAAATCTTATTCACATCGGGCTACTATATCATATAGCTGTCATAGGAACGATCGGTCGAAAATTAAGTTGTTGTATGGAAACCTGTTTTGTTTTGCATGATATCTTTACCATACTCGGCATTAACCATTTTCCCTGTGCTTCTTAGATACGGGCAAAGCACTATGAGCATTTTGAAAAGGTTGGGTCTGCAAGGGTATTAAATCTTCGGTGTGCCGAAGATAGCACTTCTTTCTCGTTATTTTTTGATTTTGAATTTGTTTTATTTTTGATTTAAAACTTCTCAAAATGTTAGTTTAGTTTGTTTACCAATTACAACAAGCCTCATATATCTCACTAGCGGGTATAACCCGGCCTTGCCCGTGGCACGTATGTTATAAAAACAATGTTCTCAAACAAATTTGAAATGATTTTGAAACTGATCGGATGATTTTGAAGCAAATCGGACACAATTTAAAACTTCGCACAAAAAACCTTTGAGTCGCATTCCACCCGAAAAAGTTTGGATTCTGCGAAAAATGTGAAACACGTTTCAAATGATTTTTATATAGATCTCTGGAAATGATTTTCGCGATTTTTTCACACTTGCGAGTGGAATTTCCCGAAACCCCGTTAACGTGCACCTACATCACATAAGGTAGCTACAGTGAAAATTTTAGCTTCCTAGCTCTTACGGTTTGGGCTGTGCGTTGATCACCAATCAGTCAGTCAGTCAGTCAGTCAGTCAGGACAAACAATTTTATATATAGAGATTATTTCTATATCTTAAAACATAATATTTCGCAAAAATATTTAAACATATTTCGCACAATTTCTAAAAATTTCCCTTTGCTAATGTATCCCATCTCTCATGCCGCAAGCGATAATAATTTATTTTAGAACCAGTTGCAAATGCTTTATGGTTTATCTTGAATTCAACGATAGCAACACTAGTTACACACATACTTTCCTTACACCAGTTGAGTTGAAAAAATTGTCATTCCAGCATCCTGCATCTTTGACAGCAGACAGCAAATTGTGATGGATGTCTTTGCAAAAAAAAAAACACATTTACCAGGGTAATATTTTCAATAAGATTTATTTTTATTTGTACTGTTCTCTTAGCTTTTATTTTGCAATATCAATTGGTGTTTTCTTTATCTTTCTAATTGATTATCGGCCTCAACATAAATGAAAAACCTCCGCTGGGTGGTGCAGTTGCTGCTTGGTCTTGTTTATTTTTTTGTTGTTTTTTTTTTTTTGTTTTTTATAAAGCAAAAATAATCCTTTTTAAATAGTCCCATTTTGGCACAAAAATATCATTGAATATTTGTTCTATAATTGTTTACGTGCTTCGGCTCAAATTTTGATTTAAAATGAAACGGTCTTATTTTATTGTCATAAGTAGAAGGTAGAAGTTAGGTGGCTACTTGGATCAGCGCCCATACACTCCTGATCCACGGCAAGGAGCTGTTAAGTCTATAGCTTAAGCGAGCTAGAGTCATGGCAAGGAGCCGTTAAACTTATTGGCAAGAAACCATTTCTAATATAAGCATTGCTAACAAAGTGTATTAAAAATAAGAGTATAGTTAATTGAGGGCAAGGACCCACGTGTAGTCATCAAGTTCATAATTTAAGTTTGAATTCAGCAGCCGGCACTTTTGGAGCGAGTATCAGAGTGAGTACACGCGTGTTGAAGAAGGCGAAGTAAGGGGAATAACCTTGAGTGTGCAGAGGAGCGGTAGGGAATCGTTTGTAATGAAGCTTGATAGTTCTTCTATCGAAAACTAACCGTGGCAAAGCTATGTTCGCCATAACCCCCTTCCCTAACCTAGTGTGCTGTTTGTGTGGTTTGAGACAGCTGCCCTTCGCCTGTGTGATAAATCCCGGCTGTGTGTATGGTTCCAGGCTCCTGCCCTCCTAAACCCTTAGAGGCGTGGCATGTTTGCGGATGAAAGCCCCGCATACCCTAGCTAGTGGATTTTATACTCTGTATTAGGCGACGAAAATGTGTGCGGAATCTAACTCACAAAGCTGAGA